ACAATAAACTTGCCCTTTTGTGAGAGAATACACTAGCCATTCTCAAGGGTAAGTTTCTCCATTTACTTTGGAGGAATGGAATAAATTCTTTGAGCAAAACTGGATGTGGTTTTTGTATGTTCGCTTCAAATGGGTAAACGGTCTATCCCACTGCTGACATTCTGATGGATCTTCTCAATCCAGAATATTTCCTCATTATTCAATGTGGTCCATAAACCTTTGTCAAATCACTAGTAGCAAGAACATGGAAATTAAAAATAAAAAGCTTTAGTTGTGCAAACAGATGCAAGAAGCAACAGCCCAAATCAAGCAGGCAAAAGCAAAAGCAGGTAAAAAAGAGAGCAGGCAAACAAGGTAAAAAGAGCCCACAAGCAAGTACAGCACAAACTCTTATAGCAAACAGTTTCTGACATAATCAGTTGTCCTAGTAACTACTCTTCTCCTATTAGTTGCCCAGGCCTGCTCTATCCTGTTCTAAATGGTCAAGACTTGTCATACTAGATCTGGCTGCTGAAGCTGCTTCTGAAGCTACTATTAAATCCTTTAACATAACAAAGAACAAATGAACTTGCCTGTGCCCTTTTCAAACATGGCTTCTTCTGCTTCATGCCCACAGCAGTATTGCTTCATAGCTGGCTTTATCATTTGATTCTGAGTAGCTTTAAATCCTCCACAAACTTTACTAAACAGTGAGTATGCACTTCTGTATCTGTTATGCAGTTATAGACTCACACATCACATATTTAGTGTTACTATGTGTTACGCAAAAAGCTGTGAAAATGCTTCTCCTCAAGTTAAATAACCAAGACTACCATCAGAGTGAGGCGATTCCTTCATTTATTGCAATAGACGGGGAGAGCCCGCTCTATCGGAATCTCTCCAAAGTACAAACACACAAAACATCCCCTTTTAACCCTCAACCCATCCGCCACAGTCCCGTCCCCCCCATTTCCCTCATTGGGTAAGGCACTAGGAGGTTACAGTCTTTCCATCTGCCTGCTTCATATCTCCTATCTCATCCCACTATATACATCTACATACATCACATGTGCAAGCCCATTGTTTATTCAAGGTGTGTGAGTGAATATTCATCAACCTATTATGCCTGCGTGTTCATAACTACAAGTTCACTAGTTCACTCTTTTCTGGCTTCACCTTGCCCTATGACCGCCCCCCCCCCGTCCCATAAAACTACTGGAAGTATGAGATAGAAGGTAGCCTTCTTTCTTCAACCCAATTATCTTTTCCTCCTTTCCACATTCCTCCTGATGACTACTCCATGACTCAATTAATGGCTGCTCTGTTTCTCAGTCACTGTGTTATTTTCTTCACTATGCAACTGGGTCTAGATAGTAAGATCAAGGATTCAAAGGTAAGAGTGTTTGGCATGCCCATCAATGTGTTCCTGAATTTTGGACTTACACATTATTTTGGCCTAGGTGGTACACTGGATTTTTATTGTTACAAATGAAATAGCATTAATTGTAGTTAAACAAGCAAAAACCTTTATGTTAGGCGGCCAAGGTCACCCTAGATTATGAGACCCTAGGCTGCAGCCCGCTTAGCCCATATGTAAATCCACTGGGCAAAAATATTTTTCCACTGGGCAAAAGTTTGGATCCAAAGCAAAGTATGTTATCTACCTGATGCTCTAAGCTGAGGTGCCCCCCCCAGCCCCATTTGAGCTAGTAAAGTATGCTTTGAGGGATTTTATTTTATCATAAGCCAACTGTGGGGTCTGTGAGCAACATCTTGTTTCCTGAAGAGCAAGCAATTCTTGTGAGTTGCATCTTACTGAAAGAATTCCCTTTCAGTGCCTGTGCACATGACTACTGAATGAAGATGGCAGATGAACCAGTACAAAGTGTTCTCCAAAGTGCATATGCTTTTGAAGCGTACTTTGTCATTTACAACTGTGTGCCCTCAACTTACATCAAAGATTAGTATTCTTTTTCCCAAGAGTTACTCTCATATGCTTGAACTCCATTTTGCAACACTGTTTTGTTCTTTTTAGAAAGATCATTCTGTCCCCTTGTCACAAAAAATACTCAGTATAACAGCTTTTCTTTCATTTTTATAAGGAATGGTACAATTATGGTTTAATTAGAAGAATATGAGTAAAGCAACTGGGAGCTTGTTGGAATCCTTAGAAATGGCATGCCATTAAATTGCTCAGATGCAGGAACTTCTTCCTTTAAAATTGTGTAAACTTATTTCAAGAGGAATCTTTTCAAAATGGCATGATTGCTTATTAAAATTGAACTCTTTGCCTGTTAGGCTTTCTCCAACATAAAATGTTTTTTCCTTTAAAAAATAAAAAGCCAACAGGTGCATTAAAATAGCATTTCCACTGTGTTGGGTTTACAAAGAACATTATATGTAAATATTTCAGTACAAGAAGCAGCTTCTTCAAATGCCTTTCCCATTAGAAACTGTAAAAGAAAAAAAATCTATCCCCATTACTCAAATTATAATTTAGGTAAAATAGGAAAAACCTGGATAGTGCTCCAAAAAATCTGCTGGTCACATCAAAGTTTGCATTTATTTGACAAATACACTATGTATTCATTCTGAAACAAGCATTTTCATTGCTATCAAACTTAAATTATATTTACACCTAGAGGTATTGTATTATCATTTTTGCATTCTTGTCACATCTGCAGTCTACACATTCACATGAAAACTACTGCAATTTGAGGGATATTTAACTGCCACTACATAATCTCACAAATCAGATGACAACTGTATGACTAGAGTAACTTGTTTTCACAGCTTTGCTGTGGCCAATGGTTATACATGGCCCAAATTCAGTTGAAGTCAGATTGCACATGTACCTGGGGATAAGCCCCACTGAACTGAGTGGGAACAGGCTATTTATTTATGTATTTGTTATAAGCTTCAAGAAAACACAAGGTGACTGCTTCTGACTAAAAACACATATAACATTTAGCAAGTCAAATATTAACTACTGGAATGAGATGGTTGCAGCTAAACCATGTGCCATATCCCGGGACTTACTTATATAAGTATTGGGACTTATTTCTGAGGAAACGTACATAAAATATGCTGTTAGAGTCACTTTTACCTGGAGCAGGGCTTACACTCCTGCTTGCTTACTACTGTGCTCAAAACAGTGTGGGCAGCAGAAACCTATAAAAGATGCAAGAAACCATGTCCTTGCTTTTGCCTGGTCAACCTACTTCAAAACTCAGGATATATTGTGATGTCAAACATAATATCAATAGTTTGTGCACCTTGAAGAGTACAACTTCTATAAAACTTTGTCTACAAAAGCATCCACAAGTATCTAAACCCTTTAAGTAAACTTGAGGAATTGACAATATTGAATTAATTAAATGCAAACTACAGATGGATTTTGTATGGAAATCTGCTGCTTGGCATGAAGATAATTCCTGTAGATGTTCATGTTTTCAGTATATTATCAGTTAACATTTCAAATTAAAATATGTCTTTAATGCATTCCCAAAGTCTTCCCAAGGTGGTTTACAATAGAAAGCATACAATTCCATATCAATGTATCAAGCCCATAAGCTTATAAAATCATTTCAAACAAATTCCACCATAAACAAGTGTCCTGATGTAGTAGAGCCAGGGCTCATAAGGCTGCAACACCAGGACTTTTTATTAGCAGAGACTCCATGCCTCCCACCTCACTGCAGCTTTGCTTGGAGAAAAAGGTATGATGATTGGATATACCTTGGTGTGACCTTGAATGCTCAACTGAGACCCATTAACTTCATAAAAGTCCTGCTTCTTGTGAAAATCAAAACTGCTAGAACTGGTTTGTTGACATGGATCAACACAGCTACCTGAATTTTTGGGCTCTCCCCCGATGGATGGCTAGGCCTGATAAGTGGTAAGTGCCTGAATTTCAACATTTACCAATGCACCATCAGTTAGTGATGCTTGCACTGACCAGCATATACCATAAAGAAGTGTAAAAAAATACTGTTGATGAGGATCAGGTGTCTCAAGAGTCATAGCAAGGTTGACACAAGAGTGAATGAGAGTGATATTCCATAGCTTCGCTCATTTTTGGAAGAAGTTCTAAATTTTTGCAGAGAGTTTGGTCATTTATGCCCTTCACGGAGTGTGAGGTAAGCTCTGATACAGCACAGATATTGGCAGTACAATGAAGACATTTAAATTAGGGTGGTTCTATTAATTGCTGCTACCTCAGGAGACCACATGATCTGGCTTTACTGGGAACATACATGGAAAAGAATCCCAGACTGATTCTGTATATGCTTGCTTATGAGTAAGTCCCACTGAGGTCAATGTTATATATTTACAAGCATATGTTAATAGAAGTGAAGCCTTATTTAAGAACTTTCTGCCCCTCCTATTAGCTCTGCAGCTATAACCTTTTGGAGGCCATCAGGAAAAATAACTTTTAGAGATAAGTATTAAATACCAGAAAGGTTCTTTTGTTAAAGTTTATGGACATGCATTCATAGTAATAATAAGGATGGTCATAATAACAGTAATAATATAGAAATAAGTAAGTTGAAGTTGCTGGTCTAATATGGCATGTGCAAGATCAAATCCATAATTTATTGATCCAGACTAACTTTCACCACTGTTTCCCACAACTACAAAAACGGATTCAAAACCCACAATAGCAACTACGAAAAGTGTTTTTTTCGCATTTGTATTATGAGTGCAAGGCTACAAGTATCGGAACATTTATATGGGATTGAGCTATATGTGGGTGATTGGAAAATTATGGGTAAGCAACCCTGTGCAGTGAACTAAACCTACTTTTCGGCCCAGGGTTAGTATGAATGCTAGCGGTGAATACAGAAATGCACATTCTTGCAAACTAGTATTTTTTACATTTATTGAGCAGCAGCATTTACACATAAACATTTTATACAGTCCTGAGCCCTCGCGAATAAAGCAATTCTGTTGTCTTACCCGGTCCACAGATGAATTCTGCTTAAACCAAACTCAGCTTGGCCCCGCCCTTCATGGAACGTCAACTTCCTGCAGCCAATGAAACGCCGCGTTCGGTTTAGTTCCTGAATACTGACAACATTTCTTCTATCTGCACGTGACCGTGTCTCGCTTCTGGTAGCGGCCGCGTTCGGAAGAAGGCTCCGCTTTCTTTTCTTCTTGGACGTCCTTTTCTTCTTCCTCTTCGGGTGTGGCGGCGGCGGCGGCGGCGGCGGCAGCAGCAGCAGCAATGGGCTCAGCCACGGTCTTTCTGCTACCGAGTGTCTTGCTGGGCCTCTGCGCTGGGGAGAGGCTCTTTCCTAGCCGAGACGTCTTCCTCCAAAGTGGCTGGGAAGGGACGGCTTTGGGAGGCCGGCGCCGCGCCCTTCTGTCTTTGGAAGTGCTGGAAGCAGCGGCGGGAGACGTCCCTTGGCTGGCCTCGGGGCTCGTAGGGGACTTGCTGGAGTCGCAGCTGGAGCCGGACTGCAGGGAGCTCTTAGCGGGCTTCGCCAACAGCAGCGTCAGACTGACCAGTTGCTTAATACGGAATGCCCGGCCTGTGACGCTCTGCCAGAACTGCTACCACCAGTTCCGGGAGCTCAAGGAGCGGTTTGACAACATCACCGGTGCCGTGGGGGTGCGTGGGTTTCTCTTCTTTGATGTTAAGCCTAGCCTGCCTTTCCTTTCGCGGAGAAAAACAAGGGAGGGGGCGCAGCCAGCATGACCGAATCAAAGGTTCCCTTCTCCCCAGTTCAGCTTGTATTTCTTGATACAGCAACAAATAGGCTTGTGATGTGTTACAAACTAACAAGCATATGTGGCGTGAGTCTTTTGTGGTCTACAGTCAGTGTCCATCCAAATGCATCGGACAGAGTGAACTTTCCTACTCTATGAACTCTTATGCTGTAATCCATCACCGAACTAATTTAACGTGCCATGAAACTGTTTTTGCTGCTACAGACTTAACATGGCTGCCCCTCTGGAAACTGTAATTTTAATGTGTTGGAGGGACTGCCTGGGTTAAGACTCTGCCCTGACCAGAAACAAGTGATTTCTGTTGCCAGAAGTTGTAATAAGGAAGCATTCTTAGGTTGCAGTTCTGTTTAGACAGGAAAAAAAGTTCTACAATGTCCAGCATTCCCCAGCCAGCCTGCTGAGAGCTGTAGGACTTTTTTTCCTGTCTAAAAATTCATAGCTTTGCATCCTTGACCACTCTGTGTTCTGCCTTGCAGCTGTAGGCCTGCTTTCTACAAATGACATAGGAAGGAGGACTGGTGGAAAAAATAGCTGAGGGCCACTGTAGCCACACACACACACACACACACACCCCATCCACAATTAATTTGCAGTCGGAGGTTAGGTAATAAAAAGAATTGCAGAATGTGCCCAGCATGCACTGTGGCAAATAATGGGTTAATTAATCCACAATTTACTGCTGTTACATACAAACCTGGTTTCTAATTAGACCAGTAATTGCATTCGATCAGCAGATACTTAAAATAAAAGGTATTTTAATATGACTGGAAACTAAGCATGGCACTGACTCATTTTATCACACTGGAGTTCAGTCAGACACACATGGCTTAAAATCAGTGCACTGCAAAAAGAAAAGGGTGGAAAATGTATATTTCTGTATTTGTAGTCTGTATCTTATGCAGACAGCCCAAAGGGTTTGACTAATTCAGTGGAAGACACATATTGGTGACACAGATTTAAAATGAGGTATAACCCTTATTTGTGGATGAGGTAGGGCAAGTTCACAGCCGATAGTAATGCCATATTTTTACAATATTACAAAGAACTTGTAGTAAGAAAGGCATATGCTATGGTCCTTGAAGGACTGTACCATTATAAAATGTTCTATTTTGTTTAATCTATATCCTGTCTACTCAACTGCAAGAGTTCCCAGGGTAGTTAACAAATATATAATAAAACGTAATTTATAATGCTTAATAAAACAGGTGAATACAAGGTAGTTCTGAATCTGTTAGCAGATCTCTGAGTGAATTATAGTAGAAAAGCAAAACATCTTCCACTTTTCTTCCCAATAGTTTAGCAATGGTGTCAAGACAAAAAAACTTTTCCTGCCCTAAATTATATTTATGAAATGAAAACTTGGAAGTAACCAGTAATTGGTTTTTGGGTAGAAGAACTGAGTTGCATTCAGATTTGGTACTTAAAACAAAGTCCTGGGTCCAGAATTCTTTAATCCAAATGTTGGTAGATTTCAGTGGATGTTTCAGAAAAAAGAAAGTAAATCCAACTCATTATATATGCAATATAACTCCAAAATCTAACATTTGCAATAAGTAACAAAATATGCTAAAAATGGGCCACAGCAAGAGAGAGAACCAGCACAAAATCTAATCTAAATGCTTGATTTTTAACAAGAATCCCATTAAATAACCGGAAAAATACAGTGTTTTCGCACCTAAGACAAGCCATGGCAGGAATAGCTTGTAGTTATGTGTGAATACTGAAAGCATGGTGAAATGTGGCATGGTTGGTTACTGTGAATCGCCACAGAGAACCAGTGATCTGTTCTAAAGTTCCCACATTTCAGCATTGCTTGTGGTGACGTGTGAAGCCAGTTAGAATGCTTTCCCATGGCTTCCCCATTTTGAGTTTGGTGGCAAGAGTGGCCACTGCGGCATTTCCAGTCACCATTTTCTGCTGTTCCCTTTGCCTAGCAATGGCTGAGTTGCTGGCAGACAAGGCACTGATTGGCTAGCTCCACACTCCCTGCCTGCCCTCGCAGCATGCGCTCCCCAGTGCTTGGCTGCTACGCTATTGCAGCGTCTGTTGTCTTGGTTGCCTGGCCAGGTCACCTGCCTCAGATCTGTGCAGCAGGCGGAGACATGGGGACATCGTAAGGGAGCTTGCCTGCGAGGCGGGGACATGTCCCCGTCCTGCGAGGCTCACAGAAGAGGCAATCTTGCATGACGTGAAAGCTCAGCAATGCCACGCAAGACGGACATCTCAGTGATGCAGCCCCCAGCTGACGGGTGACCTAGCCAGGCCCCAGGCATGGCAAGGGCATGGCAGCCAGGCATTCGGGAGCGCCTCTTGCAGCAGCAGCAGCAGCAGCTGCGGGGCAGCTGTGCATGATGTTCTTGCATGGCTGTGGCTGTGCTGCTCTAGCAGAGCCACTCTCCTACTCTCATGAGTAGGTGAGGGCTCCATGGAGCAGCAGGGGGAAAATGTGGCAGCTGGCTGAGAACCTGCCCAGGGGAGAGTGTGGGCCAGTGGGTGAGAGGAAGGTGATGCAGGCCAGAGGGGCCTGTGCTGGGATTGCTTCTCCGCTGTGGGGGCTGATGGGATGCATTCTGCCACTTGCAGGGAAGACTGAGGTGTATGGAAACTACTCATGAGTAGTTACTTCATGACTGTGTGAACACAGGGCACAAGCAAAGAAAGATTTTTTTCATGGTATTCCTTAGCATTTTGTGTGAACATAGCCAGTAAGAACAGTGGAGATACTAGGTATGGTTTCCTGAGGAAGGATATTTTACCACTGAATTGTCTCTTCTGTCACATCTCAGAAATAGAGGTCACTCAAAAGATAGTCTTGGGTAACAATGACTATGTGAATTTGTATAGGAGAAGGTGATTCAGCTAATAAAACTGGGGTGGGGGGTGGGGAGTCACACCTTGGATTGTTGCCCGAATCAAATAAAGCAAGCCTTCCCCAACCTAGTGGCTCTCAGAGGTATTTGGACCACAGCTCCCAGAATTCCTGTCCAGCAGGGCTGTTGACTAAGAATTCTGGGTGTTGCATTCCAAATGTGTCCGGAAGGCACAAGGTTGGGGAAGACTGAAGCCTTAGAGCTGAACATTTATTTTTGTGCCTTCTCACACTCCTATTCATACCCAGGAAACTATTTTGTTCCTTTTTGTTTACAAGATGAAAGTACTTTATAAAAATAGGACATAAAGAAGAATAACCATAAAATGCAAATGTGAATTAAACTCCAAAAGATAATGAGACAAATGAGCACCAAGATTTTTTTTTTTCCTTTTAACAAACAGCACCTAAAATCCATAGATTCCTGTAAGAGCCATTGAGGACAGCACAACCCAGATTCAGAAAAATAGCAGACAAGGTAATTGTTCTGCCTGCATCTGCTAAGCTGTTTCCAGAGATGGTGCTTGTTATTGGGTTTCACAATACTGAATGTTATCTTAACGTTCTTCAACATTTACACTGATCTCCTATCCAAATGTTATCCAAAATGTTGGCTAAGGGAGCACCTGAATGTGGCTGACCTAGTTCTACCTCTCCTTTTCATCTAATACCAGGGAGGCAGTTCATCTGAATCAGTGCTTGGGCAGGTGAATAAGCTATATGAAGACCAATAAATTGGGAATCAAACCAGATAAGAAGGTGGAAATACGTCTACTTGGTCTGTTCAGCAGAGTGGTGTTCACCCTCTTCTGGTTTAGTGCACCATTTATCAGCTTCTGACATATGAGCTCCTATCATAGCTGGTCAGAGATGCAACAGTTATTCATGCTTGCCACACCTATTCACTAGTTACAGTTATTCTCTAGTAACTTACACTAGTGACCAGTGCTGGGGGTAATCTGGAAAAAGCGAAAGTGGAAAATTTTCTAATGCACGTTAGGTTCATTTGCACTGGAAATTTCTCAGTTTGCATAGGAATATGTTCTGATGCCCTAGATTCAGGGGTGGACTACTTGTAGCCTGCCAATTGTTTTGGCCTCCTGTAATCCTTCACCATTGATTCTTCTGGCTAGTTGAAGGAAACTAGGCCAAAACATTTGAAGGATCACAAGTTGCATGCCCTGCCAGAGAGAGATCTAATTTAGCATGTTTGTTTTACTTGCATTTAGTAAACAACAAAAGTTTTAAAGTACCTTGTCTTACTTTTTTATCCAATACACAAGTATTTGACCTGAAATATTTTAAGGGGAAAAATGGAAGCATGCTTTCAATGTGATTTAAAAGCTATATTACATTGATTTTATAGGAATATTTGTAAAATGTAAAGACAATAGCATATAGTCACTTTCAACTGTTTAAGCAAATGCATAAATTTCAGCCCAAGGGCTGAATCTCATTTTGAAGAAATATTTGGGAGAAGCGTTCCAGGGAGGATTGTTGCAAAACGGGCAACACTCAAATTGCTTAAACTATCGGCTTAAAAAAAAAAAGCTTAGAGCTCTTTCTGTCTTTAAGCTTTAGGAGAGGCATTTCAACATTTTAGAATGGGGAAGAACTGCGCAAAAGCTGGGAAACCAACCAACAGTAGGTGGTCAGAGGGAGAGAAGGTGGGGCAGGGGACATACTCACTTGGGAAATCATAGAGAGGCTACTTAGGTGCCCAGGGGTGCTGGAACTGACCTTTGGGCCTGTAGTGTACTCCTCCTGCTTCAGTCTATGGCTATTTAACACTGAAGTAGTTTATAATACTCAAAACAGTTTTTTAACTACTGCATATCTTTTTGATGTAGTTTTCTTTGTGTGTTTATGTGTTACAAATGAAGAGATCATAGGGGAGGTTTGCATTCCACCTGCAACCTGCTGCAGGAATCGTGTGCCATGAGTCTTTAGCTGTATCATCTATAGACATCATGGAACGGTTGATTCTCCACTCTATGGTATAACATGGTCTGAAAGCTTTGAGTTGATCTTTGGGGGGCTCTTGCATGAAGAATCTAGCCTTTGCATAGGTGCTGGAATGCAAAGCCTTGGTTTCCGATGTCCTATCCAATGCTATGATGCTGGGTTTCTTTAGGGATTTTCTTCTATGATGTTCTTGAAATGGCAAGTGGAAAGGTGGCCATATATCTCCTGCTATGTTAATTAAATTAATTTTAATTACATTAACCTTTAATTAGATATAATTACATGTAAGTAATTTAAACCTAATAACTCATCCTTGACCTATGTGGACTAGTGCAGCTAAAGAACCTGTTCTTATGGCAGTTTATAGTAACGTATTACCCCTTTTTGCTCTTTGCAGAATTCTTCTGGGAGTAACCACTGTGCCAAAAGTCTCTTGATGTCAGATAGACTTCAGATAGTTTCGATCCTGTCTGGTTTTTTTACTGATACATGGGCAAAGGCAAACTGTGCAAGTAAGTACGGGCAACTTTCTTGCCTATTTTCTACATACTTAATAGCATTGTACATATTTACCAAACTGTTTATTTTCAAGTTACTTTCCCTGCTAATAAATAGATTCTTAACATGTTTCCTTGTTGGTAGTCAAGTATGGGAGCGGACGTGTTCTATGTTTCTCTGTGTGCCTTCACCTTATAGAAAAGCCACCTTAGTGTGAGTGCCGATTCTGGCCTTTAAAGCAAGGATCTGGGATCAGATACCTTGATAACAGCCTGCTTGCACATGAGCAGCTGAGGTCCTTATTGGAGGCCCTGTTCTAAATGCCTCTGTCTTGTATGAGAGGTCACACAGATTGTGACCAGGGAAGGGCCCTTTTGTGTGTTGTACTCCATCTGTGGAACTTCTTTCAGATGGACTTCTGCCTGGCGCTTCGCTGTTTTAATTGCCAGACCAGATGCATTGACATGCAATGTTAAGACCAAAATACTGACATCAAACCATGATTTGAACAAGCATTGTGTTTCTGCATGCAGCATATTTTCCTTTCTTTGCATGGATTAGCTTAGCAGAGCGTCTGAATCCAGAGTTGTAGTTTATGCTACCCAAAGAAGATAGGCTTTGTAGTTCAATAAGAAACCTTGGTGTAAACCAGGCTCAAAATTCTGGCTTGTTTGGATACAGCAAGCCAAAGTCCTGGATTCAGATGTTGCAAACAACTATCCTAATTTGGTGTGTTCCCCCTTGGCATAAAGGGAGGTGTAAAGCAGAAGTGAATAGTCTGCACGCGTGAACATGTTGCTTGTTTACAATGGCTTAATAAAACCAGAATTCAGAACAGAGCTATTTGTTTTGTCCAAAAATGATCGAAGTCTGCTCTGTTTGTTAAGATCTTCAATGTGCAGTTTCATGTTTTTATTAATATACAATTTCTAGTGTTGGGCCACTTGATAATAATCACACAATTGTGCTGTCATTTGAAGGGGCTGGGAACTATTCACATTTATGTTAAAATCTTGGAAGTAGGTTTACTGATATTGGTGATTTACTATTTGATTATGGTATCTATTTTTAAAACTTGAAAGCTACTTTGGTTGTCTTCAAAAAGGCATTACAGAAATACAATAAGCACATTTTACTTTGTTTGTGAGTTTCCTCTTTGTCTCTATTACTGTTTTTTAACTGCTGCCTTAGTTATTTTGTGTTTGTTTTTGCTGTTCCTGTCAATTGTGCTTATTATTTTTTTAATAATCTTTTTATGATGCTAACTATTTTGCACCAATCATTATAGGAGAAAGGCAATATATACTTTTTTGGTTTTGTTTTAGTTATTCTTCAGGCTTTCCTTTCTACTGTCTCTCTCATATTCACTTGGGAAACTAACCAAACCTAATCAACTCAGTTTTTTCTAAGGCAAGTACATCATGCACAATTCATACGTATGGATTAGGTCTGAAAGCTTCTTCAGCATTTTTAATAAATTCAGTTTTCAGTTTATGTTATTTGTGGGTGGGGAACAGAATAACTTGGATTTTTGTCTATTTTAAATTGACTTAAACCTTGCCTAAAGTTTGTCTAAAACTGACTTAAACTTTAGGTTTTTTTCCTAGAGTTAAAAAGCTCTCTCCTAATGATACTGACTGTGGTCAGTAAGCACAGGCGCCAAATCAATGTTAACCTGCACAATACCTACAGCAGTGCCTCAACAGAACCGAACTTCTTCAGTTCAGTAAGATCTGATCAAGCACTTGGATGCATGTGTGCGATCGGATGTGAATGCAGACGCCTGTTCCTGATAATACAGAAGTCTATTTTGTGATCATTTAACAAAAGGTGCTGGGAAGCAAGCGTTTAGGTAACAAGAGCAATGTAGGGAGAAAGGAATGGGATGGCTTAAAAACAGCCTGTGTGATCAGTCTCTGTATAAATATTTCTGCTGGTCTTGAACATGAGTTGTGCAAGCCTTGAGCACGCACACATTTTCAGTTGGCATTTATTTTTCTTTAGTTCAGGAATGGACAGTCTGTGGCACTGCCAATGTGGTTGGGCTCCATCATCCCACAATGGGTGATACTAGCTGAGGTTGATGGGGGTTGGATTCTTAACAGCATCTGGAGGGTTGCAAATTGTCAACATCTCCAGGGAGGAATGAAACTGATGGGCAATATCCATCCTGTGGCTAGGATTATATGGTGCATGGAAGCCTAATTTTGGGGATGGAAATGGACTGTTCTTGTGTCCCATTAAATAATTATTTGTTCATATGGCTGCAAATATTACTACTACTATTATGAACAGGTGCTTGGGGGAGAGACAGTAACATAAAGGGGATAGGCACTTCTAGGTCTCTCACCCTACCTTATCATCTTACAGCATGATATCCAGTGTTAGTCCTGTCTAGAGTAGACCCATTGAAATTAATCTTAAGTTAGTCACAGCTAATGTAGACCCATCTCTTTCAGAAGGTCTACTTTCTGTAAGACTTACATTTGATACTACCCAGAGTCTGTGTGACTGGAGACTGCTTGACGGAAAAAGACTGGGTAATATCAAAACCCTTGGGTGTATGTGTCACTTAAAGAATGTACTAGCAATCCTGACCTCCCCAGGTGAGGAAAAAGATGCAGGTGAGAGCTGTGAAGAATTCTGCCATGACTGAGAGGTGTGGCTGCCAACTATTTGTAGGTTATTTGTAGAGAATCTTATGCTGCTTTTGTGGAGTGGAGATCTCTTTGGCCTTATGCAGTGTGTCTGAGGGTTCTGTGTTAGGCTTTATTTTCCCTCATTTTGTTCCATCCTGCTGGACTGAGGCAGTTCATTTCTGTTGTAGTATTCAGTATTGCATTAAGTGATTGGTACTTTTATTATGTATTTACTGAGTGACAATATGGTTGTTTATAATGGTCCCTACCAGAGACTTCATTAGGATTAGGGGCGGCGTATAAATGCATAAATGAATGAATAAATAAATAAGGGTCCCTACCATGTGACTTGAATTAATATTTTATTGTTGTTTGTTTGGTACATTGCAAGCTGCTTTCACAATTTTGTAGGAAAACAATATACGTATAAAAGAACAATTCTGAAGTGCCCAGTTTGCCAAGTTCTTTATGCAGATTTTTTTTTTTTAAAGACTCACCTACCCCACATGCCTGTAATCTAAAAGTTACTAAGTGTATCATAAAAGGAAAAAAGGACAAGGTGGGGAGAAGAAAACAAGCAACTCTGGCACCATTCTGAAAAGTTACACAGAAGAGCTTAAAATAGGCAGGATGAGTGGAAATAGTTCAGGGAGAAGAGCCCTATGGTATTGCTGCCTACCTGCTCAGGTGAGCCCTCCAGGCCCCTGTCATTCTTCTTCCTTTCTTTCTCTGGTCCAGCCAAGTTTGAAAGGTGATGGTAACAAATTCTAAAAGACTCCAATGTGTATATATCTCAACACACGGGATAGGCATAGTGCAGAAACAGAACTTATTCAATAGCTCTTGGGCCCTTTTATTGACCCTTGGTTGATAAAACTTTGATTACATGCAACAGAAATGTTCAAGTGAGCTGTATTCCATTGGCACTGATGCATTAATTGTGTGTGTGTGTGTGTGTGTGTGTGTGTGTATGTGAGTACCCTTGCTCTTAAAGTGGGGTTGGGAAGTGGCGGGAGAGAGAGAAGACGGTGCTATATGTTGTATGACTTGACCTGATGTACACACATAGCTAGCTGCTAATTACTGGAATTTTGAAAATGTTTTACTCCATCAATCCTTGGGTTAGGAGTGTAATGAAGAGCTAATTTTTCTTTTTTTCTTTTTCGCTTGTGAGGAGATAACATTCCTTAGGGCCATTCTTCAGATTGTTTATATGTACACTGAAGATGTTTGAAACATGTCTAAAATTTAAAGTGTATATTACACGTTACACTTTTCAGAAGTCATGTTTGGTTGCATTTCCTGTTACGTGTCCACTCATTGGCAAACTTGGATTTGCTCCTGTGTAATGTGTGAATGGCTTTACGATACTGTAACATGCTAGCTACACTGCCAAGGGGTCAGTACAGTATTACTTACTATGTTGTCTGGAGTTCCTTTTTATGTGGCTTGCTGTATGTAGTGTAAATGCCTTTTGCAATGTAACTTCTGTTGGTTTCTTCTTTCATGCATAGTTTAGAATTGTTTATTGTTTAGAAAAATGATATTTTTCTAGCTGAATGACACAGTAGGGTGCTGCTTTAAGTGTATATGCCAGTGATGGCGAACCTTTTAGAGATCGAGTGCCCAAACTGCAACCCAAAACCCACTTATTTATCACAAAGTGCCAACACTACAATAAAACCTGAAAACTGAGGTTTTAGTTTAGAAAAAACAACTCACAGCCTGCCCAAGAAAATATATATATATCCTTGGCAGCACACTGACTGGCCATGCAAAAGCTTGGACAAGTTGCAGCTAATGAGTTGCAGCTTGTGACGTCGTTGCCTAGCACCGCTACTCCTTTCCGAGCATGTGCATGGCCCCTCTGTGCGCTGTTATCCGATGCTTGGCTGCTGGGGCGATGCTGGGGCGACTTGGCTTGCGTGCCGACAGAGAGGTCTCTGCGTGCCCACTGTGGCACGCGTGCCAGAGGTTTGCCACCACTGGTATATCCTGTGATGTAGTTGTTCTGTTATATAAAAGAAAAGAATAATGACTCTAATAATGAAGAACCCTTTTTGGAGAAACCTTAGAATATAGTAGGAGATAGCCTGTAGTCTAGACATAATCCTGCAATTCATTGATTATCTCCCCCCTCTGTTCCTGAATTTTCTTTCAATCTACATTTTTTCACAAAGTTCCTCCATGATCTTAGATGAAGTAGCTTTTCTGTTGCCTAGATGCCCATAGGCAGACTCTTGTTGACAAGCCCAATTTCTTTCTTCATATCATCCAGCCAATTAATTCAAATGCCAATTGTATAATCTCATGACTTTAAGTATCACCTATACATTGACCAGTTCTACTTCTCTACCTCATTTTTTTTCTGGCTCACTATCCAGTGTCGTATGTCCTGCTTCCTTCTGATATTTCTGCTTGGATGCTTCATCACTGTGTTGAGCTCAATACATCCAGGACCAAACTCACTGTTCTTTTCTGTTGATACTGTTTTTACTGATCAGGCATAAATTTTGATTTCTGCTTTCCCCCTTCCCTGTCCTTTGCCCCAACTCTCCCCATTTCAGTTTGTTCCCACATCTCCCTTTACAGTATTATAGAAACAGGCCTTGCCCTCTCTGTACCTTCAGCAAAAACGCTTGTACATGCCCCAGTCACCTCTGCCCTGATGACTGTAATCTGCTTCTCTCTGATTTTCCATTGTCTTACTTTCATTTGCTTGCATCGGTCTGACACTTTGGTACCGTAATTAATCACCTATCTTGCAGTTTTGACCATGTGATCCAACTCTCTAAATCCCTTCAGCAGCATTCTGTCCATGTCTTCAAAATCCTCCATCCATACTTTGCCCCTCTTTATCTCCCTGTGCTTCGCTTCCTGTGACATTTGCTCCACCAGTTCTACCACCCTCTGCCCTCCAAAGGTTTCTGGTTCCCTGAAGCGGCCGCAACCCTCCATTTGTCCTTGTTGGCCTTATGCTTGGAACGCCTTCCCAGAATGCTTCCAGGAGATCACCTCTCATTTCCTTTAAGTCCTTTCTCAAAACTCACTTTTTCTGGGAAGGCTTTGTATCATTCCAGCCTGTTCCTTAAATCTTACTGCAACAGTACCAAAGTACATGTAATTGAGTCATCACATATTTTTCTGCATATAATTCTCCATCCCCACACCCTTTTTCTGTTATTTCTCTGCTGCTGTTTTAGATTGTAAGCCTCTACATTTAGGGTCCTCTCATACATACCCTTGGTAAAATGTCATGTGCATCAATGGCCCATTGTTGTAGTTGTTATTATTATTATTCAACATAATCAAAAAAATGGCTAAAACAAATATTGGCTAAGAACTTAAAAACAAATATGTCTTAGCCTAAAGCCGTGCATACAGGGTGTATATTGTCATTTCCATATTTTCTTTCACAGATTGCTTAAAGAAAAACAGTGAAGGCTTATCGAATAATACAGTGAAGTTTCTGGCCTTATTCAATGAATCGCTGGAATGCTTTGAACACAACCTCCAGGTACTTATACTGTTTGTGTAAGGGTACAGTTGTGCCCTCTAATTGTGTAGTGAAAATGTTTTATTTTTTTCTCCACAAGATGCGGCGAATATAATTCGAAAACTCTTATGCAGTTTAGGCAGGTAGAACAATTATCTTTAAAACGCAGGTGTTCACAACTGAGAACAAAATGCATTCTAATTAATGTTCACCTCCATTTCATATGCAATTATGGCGCTGTTTTGGTCTCACAATAGTTGGTAATTATATAGGAAGAGTTGTGTAATCTCTGCATATAGTAAATCACTTTCTTTCCTTATTCTGGGCCTTGTCACCTCCTCATTTAACTATATGGGTCTTCTGGTATTTTGTTATAATATGAGTTTAGCCATAGATGCCTAGTTGTCTGAATACATTTAAAAAATTGAATTTTAGTATGTCTGCATATGGACTGTTAAAATTATTTTAATTTACTATTTTATGTTGGAAAGATGCCATAGTCTTCTGGGGAACAATCTATTTAAGTTGGAACAATCGTGCATCCCATTTTAGGCTTTAATATTTAAATGTATACCTTAAATCTGTTTTATATCTGCAGTCCCCCTTCCCCCTCCCCCCAAAAAGGAGAGCATTTCATGGCACTTGAACTGTTTCAGACAGTGAAACAGGATGTTTTACAGTGGCTTTCATGAGAACTGTTGTCAAATCCCAGATCCTCTCTCATTTGCAAAGCAGCTTTACCAAAGCTGAATCTGGTTAGCTTCGCCTAGCCCACCTCCACAATGGGAATAACACTACTTTTGCAGTATTGTAATGTTTATTATATAACATGATACAACTCTGTGCAATATTATACAACTTAAGCCAAACAATTCATGATTTTAGCACAATTTATGAAACATGTTGAATTGCACAAAGGAAAACACTTTTGTTAATCAAGTTTCCTTCTTGATGCATGTATTGGATGAATTCTACTGGTAGAATGGTGAGGAGATTATTAAGGTTCAGCAAGTAATGTAGACCCAGTTTCCAAACACCAGGATAGTGTTTTGGAGCTATGCCAAAGCTTCATGGCCTTCAGCTAGTTAGGAATAGCACCAGAGACAATTGCCATGAAGCTACCTTCCCCAGTTGTTCTGTAGCTAAGCTCCTAAATCAGCTTTATACCTTGCCTCCATTTCCCAGGGGGTAGAAACTGTGCACAAACTCTTCAATACTGGGAGAGAGGAACTTTATAAAACCTGAGGCAAGAGGTGTTTTGTTTTGTTCTCAGTCTGGGAAGAGGAATTGATGTGTTGTTCATCCAGGCAATTTTGGAGACCCACAGAATATCCACAGTCTATTCAGAGAAGCAGTATGACCGCAGAGAAGGGGAGCATACAGTTCCTTTCACTTGTTTGTATTCGGCATCCATTTGTCATCTTTGTATTCAAGAAACTGTATCATCTTTGGCACAGGTGGTTTTATTTCTTCATAAGAATCCTCAGATTTAAATACCTGGGCCAGACCAAGGTCCTGGGTTTAAAACCCTTCATTCCCAGTAAAGGGGGGAAATGCCAAATACAGTGGTACCTTGGCTCACGAACTTAATCCGTTCCAGGATTCTGGTCGTGATCCAAATTGGTTGTGAGCCAAGTTAAATTTCCCCATAAGATTCAATGTAAATAAGGTTAATCCGTTCTGTATCCATTTTTTAAATCAGAAAAATGTGAAGCAAAGTGACAACAACAAAGATCATGGCCATCTGCCCCGCCCCCCCACCCCAAGCACAAGCACAGCCATTTCCCTGCCCCCACCCCCAGGCACCTGCAGGCGTCCATCATCCCGGCACGCTGGGGGGGTGGGGGGAGAGACAGGCATGATCGTGGGTGCACTGGGGGAGGGAGAGATGGACGCAAACGGTGCGCTGGGGGTGGGGAGATGGCCTCGATCGCAGTTCCGTTCGTGCAGGGAAGGCGTGCCTGATCAGAGGCGCGCTCCTGCGGGAAAGACAGGCGGAATCTCAGCCATCTCCCTGCGGCTCTGCTTTGCTGCTCCCGTCTTTCCAGCAGCCGCGCGCCTCTGATCACGGACACCTTCCCTACGCGAAAGCAACTGTGATCCATGATCAGAGATGTGCGGCTGCACAAATGACAAGCGGAATCTCGGTCATCTCCCCTGCGGCTCTGCTTTGCTGCACCCGTCTTTGCTGCAGCAGCATGCCTCTGATCACGGACGCCTTCCCTGCACAAACACAACTGTGATCGTGGCCATCTCCCCACTGTGGGGGGGGAGATGGCTGTGATCTTGGTCACCACCCAAAGCAGTGTTCGTGACCCAAGTAAAAATGTTTCAGTAATTTTTGTTCGTGACCCGATTTGTTCGTGAGCCAAGGCGTTCGTGAGCCGAGGTACCACTGTATATAGTTTACACTAAATGAGTGGGTTTGCACGACACAGCAACTCATCCTAGGTAACTAGCCATGGTGGGTTGTCATGTCATGAGAACCTGGACCTTCCCTCCCAGGTAGGTTGGTCTTTTGAGAACTAGTCACCCAGACAGTCTGTGACTTGCTCTGGGTGTTAGATTTATGATTGGTTGACGTGATGTTCCAACCCAGCATATAAATCCCAATTTGTGTCCAGAAAAGCAACAAGTGAGCTGCTTGACAAGAGTGGCAAAAACCTCCTACTGAGATTCAGTGGATTTGATTTAAATCTAGTAAGACTAGAGTTAAATCATGGTTTCTACATAATTTGCACATTGTGCCTGCCTTACCAGTAGGTAGAAGAACACTAAAATATTCCCAAACTGGGTCTCTTTTATGACCTGCTACCATTATAAGTTTTCTCCTCCAGGAAAAGAATAGTAAAATAAACCTCAGGCTATACACAAAAACAGCCAAAGACTTGTGGAGTATTCTGTGTAAAAGGCTTCATTTTTACTGCTTGTCCATTCTTCCTCGTACTTAGTTTCTTGTGCAGAACTTTTCCATTTCCAACAATCTTCTTCTATTCATTGAAGTTTTGAAAGCTAGCACTTAAGAGGTAAAGAGCTGATTCTGTATAGATAGATTTGCAAAGGAACAATGGGATTAAGATCTTTTTCTCAATTCTGTATGTTTATTGTGTAACATTTTTGCTGTGAAAAAGAGGCATGTGATCTTTGCAGGGTGCTAGCACTGACCAGCTTCTCTCAGCATTCGTAGTACCAATTGAACAACAGCTAGAGAAAATATGAAGGTGTTTTGTGACCCCTGAAGATTAATTACAGCTTTGAGAACTGTAAAACCAAACATCTGTGATAATATCTTCTAGATTTTTTAAAAAATGCTCAATAATCTTACAGAAACCTCTGGAAGTGCATGACATTGTGCATGAATTAATGGAATTCATTTACCAAAATTTAAACATTGCATGAATATACAGCCTCATGCTACTTAATTAAACACTAATCCTTATTTCATGATGAATAACCTTTGGAGTATAATGTATCTTAAATAGAAAACTACCTTTAGATAGATTTTTTTCTTCAAAAGGCATTTTATTAAACAATCCAATTTCAAATCTGATTTTCTTTTTAAAAATCTGGTTTATTTTAATTTTTTTAACATTGAATTTTACCCTCTCTGCTGAGATTGCTTGGGCCACTGCCACTAGTAGCTGCTCCACCAAGGAGTGCTTAGGAGTGACTATCACATGGTGGGCATGTCATGAGTGGAGCCGGCTGGTGCCGGAGGTCAGACTAGATGGTCCGGGAGGCCCCTTCTGACTCGCTCTGTTTCTATGTTTCTGTCACTGGTTGTCTCTCTTCCACTGCGATTATAATGCCTTTTGTGGCTGTTACAGCATTTTCCCAGCTTTTTGGAGATCCTTTTCTGTGATCTGTGAAGACCTGCCAATGGCAGGTCCTGCACAGTGCCAAAATGGTACATTGGAGGGGTCATTACTGGTTCGCCAGAGCCAGAAATGCGCACAAATGTTTTGGTATTTAAAAATGGTTGGTAATTCAGAGTTCAAATTTTAGATTACTTAAAATTTGAAGCCTTTCCTGGTCAATGTCCTGGTAAACAGTTCAAAGCATGTGCCATCCATGGACATTAACCAAACCAAGTTTCAAATATGTCACTTTTTGTTGTGGCCTTTGGCTAGTGTAATAAACTCTTTTTGAACCAACCATAAGTGTCACTTTGATTTCACTTGACAGTTGTCAAATGCCAAGCTGCAAGATGAAAAGCTATGCTGTAAGCTTTGCAACTATATGGTTCCCTTTGCAGTGATTTCCTTAAGGTTCTGGAGGACCTGATAGTTCTCATTGCCCTGTATTTTTTCCACTCTTTGCTGAGAATCTAGGTGCTCAGAAAAATAATAGAGTGTGGTCCATCCCATTTAATGGAGCACTTGTGATAGCTGAAAAAAGTAAGGGTATCTTTAAAAATAGGGTTTCTGACAGGGATGTATACATATTTCATGGCTGCATATGTCCCTGTCAGAAGTAAGTACTCATAAATGAAGTGGGCTGCATTTTCCCACTTTCACATGAGTGCATGCCATGTGAACTTACTCTATTTTGAATAGAATGCTTTTACTTTCAGTTGTTTAATTATCGACATGCTGACATCCCAATTTTGAACAACACTGTATATTTGGGTTGAATGAACTGTTTATTGTAGGAACTGCTATCCTGCCTTTCAAGATACAGATACTTCTGGTTCTTTTCCAATAATCAGTGATAGAATTCTACTTTTGTAATAAAGTATAAAAATAAAGTATACTTAAAGAATAAAGTATACTTCTCTTTTTGTTGTTGTTGTTGTTGTTACATTGCATTTATCTCCTGTCTTTTTCCCCCTTGTGCGGAACCCAGGGCGGCTTATGTAGCTCTATTTTATCCTCATGTTTACAACTCTGTGAGGTAGTTAGGCTGAGAATGAGTGAATGGCCAAAAATGGCCCAGCAACTTCATGGCTGAGTGGGGACTAGAACCCAGATCTTGTTAATTTTGTCATAAGAGTCTCCTTGATTGTCATTTTATTTGGGTAGAAATGGGATGCAAATTTGATAAATAATAGAGAAAACCCACATTTTATCAACCTTAGTTTACACACTCAGTATTTTTGTGTAATATGCCTTTGCTGTCATCATCTGAGAATCGAATTCTTTATTTCCTATGAGCTATCCCAGTCATATGATTTTGAAGACAAAATACTGGAACCAGTCTGTATTTTTAATCTAAGTTCTTTTCTATTAAATGTATAGTAAGGAATAAGTGAAATGGAAAATTGGGCAGAGTCTCAGTGAGTTGATTGATGGGCAATTACCATTGAGAAGTTAGAAGAGTGAAAGAGACTAAGACACAGTTAGGAGGTAGTGAAATGGGGGCAGGTATGGAGAAACCCTGTTCAGGTATTCAGAATGAACACATGAAGAAGGTAGCTGGCAATACACGCAAGCCCTACTCCCAATGTCTCTGTTTTGTGAGAGGAAATGCATCCTTTTGGTACTTCAGATGCTCTGGCCTATGTGATTTGAAAAATGCAGGCTGAGGGTGGAATCCAATTAGTACATCCCACTGATCGAGCGAGCTCCCGTTTCCACATGTGCCCTCAAAATCTGCTCCAGAAGATCAGATGACCCTTTGGAGCAGATTTTGGGGGGAGGTAGGAGAGGAGAAAGTCTTGCCACATGAGCCTTGTTTGCTCAAATAATATTGGATCCCACTCTACATCTGCAGACCTCTTTACATTGAAATTGATAGCCTAGTTCTGCTTTGTTTTTGATGGAGGTGGATTGTACCTGAAATGTGATAGGAATAGATGCTGTTACTTCAACTAACAGCTCCACCTTAATGTTAAACACTTTTGATGGATAAATTCATAGTTAAACTATGAGATTTGCTATCAGAAGATGTAATGATAGGCACTAATTTGTATGGCTTTAAAAGATTAGATAAATTTGTTGAGACCAAGGCTATCAATGGCTTTTAGTTCTGATTGCTGTATGCTCCCTCTAGTATCAGAGACAATGTGCTTATAGACATCAAGAGCTAGGGAAAATAGGTGGGGTGGCTGTTACACACGTCCTGCTTATGGGCTTCCCAGAGGCAGCTGGCTGGCCACTGTGTGAACAGAATGCTGAACTAGCTGGACCCCTGATCTGATCCAGCCTCCTTCACATTGTTTTCTATAGAAGACACTTGCAGGACAGTGTTCTTGGCACCTGATGTTCTTATACTGCTAAATGTTGGGTGCCAGTTCAGGACTGTGTGTGTTTAAATGATTCCAGCAGCTACTGTGTATTTACAATCTGATCCTTAATAAAGAAAAACATAGATAACTTTCAGTGCATGTATGTTTTTTTCTTCTTTCTTTTCATTGTTGATCAAAGAATCAAATGTTAAAATGTGCAGTTGTGATGGGTTCTGTGATACCAAAACAAACCACCTATTGTTGATGTACAGTCATTAGTGTAACTGTTCTGCATTTATGTTGGAATAGTCAGTAGCTATTGAATAATGAGTGTTGTCAGCAGGAGGTAAATGAAAAGAAGAGAAGTTGGACAAAAATGGGTATACTGACAGCTTGAAAACATACAAATGAAGTTCACCCAAAGCCCTACAAATAAGCTTCTATTTAGTGCATTCTTGAAGCAGAGCATGTATCCACGTCTAAAACATGCCCTTTCTGCATAGCTTCCTCTTATCTCATCTGCTTCTTTGATTTAAGCTGACACATCATTTTCTCTCTTAGATACCACCTTATAACAAGCAATGAGTTTCCTTTACTTGCTTCTGGTATATAGTATATTAACTCCCCCCTTTTCCATTCACCTGTCTGTTATAGAGGGAGATGTGTGTTGAGCGGGGACAATAATTTGTTTAGTGGGGGGTGGTTGTATAGAACTGGATCTTTGCCAGTACTTTATAAAAACAGTCAATCATCCCAATTGTCAAGCAGGCCAGTTTGGTTGCATTCTGATTCATACCCATTTAGTATCTATCAACTTTGCAAAGAAATGGCTATATGTCATGTGGGATACACAGCAAGATTTCAGTGGCCTTATAAACTCCCCTGATTCCATAAGTAATATGCTTCCATTCACCAAAAAAATTGGTCATGTGGCAGAAAGGGGAGTTGTCCCCCTAATTCTGGCAGTTCTTTAAATAACATTGTCTTATTGGATTCATTGGGAGCACCTATGGTAGCTCCTAGCTGTCACAGGCAAGGAGCCCAGTCCTGGGGTTCAAAGGGGAGGGATGTGTCCTCTGATCCAGAATATCTAAGGCTGCCCAGGCCTCTGTTTTGAGGCCCAGCACCAGATGTAGATCAATGCCTGCTGAATTTTCATGGCCATACTGGGGGCCATTCTCTTCCAGCTGGCAGACTGGGAGTTAGGATTCCTGTTTGGTATATGAGATCCATTGGGATCTTTTTGGACACATGAGATCACTGAGTTAGAGGGATTGTCAAACTTACCTCAGAAGCTGAAGCTTCATTTTATAGTCCTTTCTGGTTTTTGGAATATGTACAGCAGGGGAAAAGTGTTTGTGGAGTGATTTAATTTATCTGGGAGGCTTTTCTTTGAAAGCATAGGCTAGTTTATATTCTTGATCTTGAATTATACTCCAGAAGCAACACTGGTCGAGATCCATTAGTTTAAAAATGATTTTTCTTATGTCTATAGAGGCAGGGAGACTATCTGCTATCAAATAACTACACAGAAGTATGCAAGAACTGCAGCGTAACATATAAAAAAATGAATGACATGTACAACTACATGCAGAAGAGTGGCCAAAAAGAGGAATCCGAAGAACAGTCCAATTTGTGTATTGATATTGAAGATGCAGTAAGTTTTTATTTAATTTTAGATCATGCTTCTCATAATATAATCTGCCTTGTCCTGAGGATTATTAATAATTTAGTTGTATTTTAAAATGCTTATGCCTTTCAAACAAGCACTTAACTGTAATAATATATGAGAAATGATGAAGAAGTATAATCAAATGGATAAGAAAGGTAAACATTTCCAGTAATTTAGTTCTATATTGTACAATACATGGACAAGCCTTAAAAAGTGCTGCACCTGCAAATGAACACTTTGGTTGGCAGGACCCAATTGCAGAGTCTTAATAAAAAACGATAGGCCATCATCAGCACCAGCATTTAGGACTGTGGTGCAAGAGTAGATTGGCTGAGTTCATGTTGTCTCCTTCCTTTTTTGTGGGGAAAAGATAGAAGGCATTCAAAACCATGTGTTCTTTTTAATTTATTTACAGCACCTCAGGGTTGGCAAGAACCATAATGAAGTCAACATTATAACTAACACTGTTAAATGCTAAGGGGTCAGCAGTAGGCTGAATATTCATTTTATCATAAAACTGCTTCCTTTTTCTCCGAATCCACTTTGTAATTTCTCCCTTGGCCTCTAGCCTTTCTGCCCCTCTCCATCCCTGATGGATCTCCCAGTCAGCCTGTTGGCAGGGGTGCCACGAACCTTTGGTTACTGTTGCTCTGGCTGCTCTCTCGCAGGGGTGGCTGAGCAACTGCAGGGTCACATTGCTAAGTGGTGACTTGGAAGACCTTAGAATTGGCAATTATGAACTATTGTTAACCACCTCTTCTGTTTTTGGACACTATAGGCTTTCTGTGGCATAATGTTAGATCAGCTGACCTTTTTTTCTCAAAAGGTCTATCAAAACTGTTTACCTCAACTGGAATATTCTTGAATTAAAGAGACTGAACTTTGCAAAATGGTTGAAGTATGGCTAATATAACTTCAAGGGGAGGGAAATTCTAGTGACTGTTATACTTAAAAGATCATAAAGCACTTAGCTGAGGAGACAGTACCTTGGATGTCTAGCACCCAAATTGTTAAATTGTGCCTGTAAAATAATAGAAGCCCTGAAGCACATTCAGTCCTGAACCTGTTGGTTTCTGAGCAAATATAGATGAGTTCTCATAAAAGACTGATATATTTTTTTCTTGTAAACTAAGAATTCTCTCCTTTTCAGATGAACATCACACGAAGGCTTTGGAGCAGAACTTTCAATTGTTCTGTCCCCTGCAGTGATACAGTGCCAGTGATTGCGGTTTCTTCATTTATTTTCTTCTTGCCAGTTGTTTTCTATCTGAGTAGCTTCCTTCACTCAAAGCAGAAAAAACGTATCTTGATTATGAGTAAGTAAATTTCCAAAGCTTTGCTGTTGGGTCTGCCTTCTGTATCAAGAGTGTTGATCCTTTCAGCCCGAAGACCAAAGTAAATTTCAAAAAAGGTCTTGAGGCCACATTCCAGTAGTGGGTGGGGATAAAGGCAAATGAGGTGAGGCCAGAACACAAAAGCTGCCAGGATATTGTAGCTCAAAGCCCTCACTGCCAGTCACTAAGCCTTAGGAGAAGCATTCCGGCCTTTTAGAATGAAAGAACAACCAAGCTAAAGCTGGCAAGCCACCAGAGATTGGTGGCCAGGAGAGGGGAGGTGGGGCCAGGAGAAGGGTGCTGTGGCTATCTGGGGAGCTCAGCAGTGGGCTGGATTTGGCCCACACGGTTGAGGCTCTGAACTTCTGTATTTTTAAAAGATCATCGTTGGTGGGTGGTTGCCAGAAGACATTCTCTGAGTGGCACCTTCATGGCAAGTCTGGAAAGGCCCTTAGTTTTGGGCTTTGCACTGCAGCTGTCCCAGCCTAATGCGAAAAGAGCTGGGCTTAGCATGACATTGTATCCAGTGGCTCTGGCATCCTAGTGTGCTCTCTGACCCAAAAGACCTCCTGCCAAAACATCAGGGAAGGCTTGTGTGCAGAAGCTGAGACTGGTCAGACCGAGCAAAGCTGTCCAGGATTATGTGGCCCTTCTTCCTTTAGGGGAAGCTGCCATGGGGCAGTAATTGTGTGTGCATCAAGCTGCCTCTGAGCCAGAGGACAGTAGTGGCTGGCCAGAACGGACTAACCAGTGGCTCATAATGAAGTGAGCTCCTCCTGCTTCTCTAACACAGTGCTTGATGACCATACTGTTGTGCAGGAGGTAGACAGACCAGGGCTAAAGCCTCTGGGACCATGACAGGTGGCTCCAGTTGAACAATTACCACAACTGTGTAAATGCAAATTCCACTTTCCAGTAAATCATTTCCGGTACTTAACATATTTGGGTATAGTTACCTAACTTAATGAACAAATGCCATTGGACTAGAATGTAGTATAGCTGTGATGATGTCTTTCCTGGAATTTGACCCAGCTTTTCTAAGAATTTTAGAACTGAAACAGACCTCGGGTTCCATGTTGTCCAGCCCTGTGCTCAAAGCAAGATCTGCAAGGCAGGATGGAGTTATAGCCTTTCTGACAGATTGACATCCAGTCTCAATGCAAACCTGACAACTGAAGGGGAGTGCATCATCTCCTAAGCCAGTCCATTCTGCTGTTGATAACTCCTAGCATTAAGAAGTGTTCTAAAGTTTAGATGAAACAAATCCACTGCATAAATATATTTTAGAACTATTTGGTTTAATTCAATAAATAATTCTGTGGACCTCAGAATTCAGAACTGAAGGTTTCCTTTTTCTCCTTAAGTAAGTTGTCATCTTGTGATGCCTTCTATGGTATTGGAGCTGCTTGATCCAAAGGAAACCAGAAGGGCCACAACATCTGGGGCTTTAGATGAACACTGTGATTAGATTCTACTTTGATGGCCATAAGGAAAGGCTTAGGAAGCCAAGTATGACTCCCGAGCCATCAGTTGTCTATCTCTGTGATATAATCTGTCTGAACGGATATAATCCAGGAAAAGCTGTATCATGTGATTTTGTTGCATGTTTATCAAAATCAGATGTTACAGTCTCTAGGCTTCATTCACCGAGAAGGTTGTGACATATGGGAAAAGGTCTCTTGTGTCTGCTGTTCTAGGTTTTGCTTGAATGGGATGTGCACAGCTGAAAAGTGTGTGAGTTCTGCTTCTGTGGAATTTTTAACTCTGTACTTCTTTTTCTAGCTAAACGGTTTCAGTCAAATACCAGTTATGTGAACATCCAAGAAAAACTCAACTGAGCCTGCAGAATGCAAGTCACAACAGGACCTATCTGATTTCTCTGAAGGAGATAATTACGGTTTTGCCTTACACTGTATTGTAACATGTTGAACAAAATGCTGTGTGACTCTCAGATGATGTGGTAAACCTTTCCATCGAGTTGCTGAGTCTGATCTTTAGCGTGAAAGGAAATAAGACGATTTCCCACACTACCATACTTCTGCTTTTGTCTCACATTCTGCTTACTAACTTTTTCCCATGCAGTTGTTTCCTTGAAACATTCCTGTCCTCCATACTTCTTATACTGGATTAGTAACAGTCTAGTTCAAACTTCCACATTACAGGTTCACAATTTCTTATTAGTAGCATTTTTGTTTGTCTGTAACCTGAGTATTAATTTTTAAGGTGTCATCAGAAGATGAAAGTAGAATAACCATAATAAATGCTAATGTTCAGCAACTTAAGGTTATGGAATTGGACAGCTGTAAAACCAAATAATTTCTTGAAATGCTGCTCAGCCAAATGAAATAGTTTCTGCATTATGAAATTCCTTATTGCTAGCACTAAGATGGCAAAACTACTGATCATTTGAATTATGTAATTTCTGGAATCCCATCTTGACCAAAACTTTGTCTCTTTATACTGCCATGGATAGGGTCTGATCACTTGCTGTCATTGATCACACTCTGTTTCAGGCATCAGGGTCGTATGAGTGCACGAAGTGTTGGACTTGTCATAACTAAGGGCAAATCACAGCAAGCCGTGGTGCCAGATTGCATATGCAACCCTTGCTTTTTTACTTAAGTGAATTCATTTCTCCTCTGTCTCTAACCTTAGTCTTCATAAAGTGGCTTTATATTTAACAGCACATAGTAAAATATATTTATTAGAACTCTAACAGTATTTTGCTATTTTTGAATATATTGCATTGGGGATGTTAAAGCTAAAAATCACTGGAAATGCTGAATTGTTTGAACCTAAGATATAAAAGTGGTTTATGTATATTTTGTGAAATGTAGTTAATTTTTCTTGGTACAGGGTTTTTTAAAATTTTAATATGACGGTGTTTTAGCAGCATACAGATCTTTTATCATTTTAAGATTTAAAACATGGTTAAGAAATCTAGACTCTCCGTATTTCAGGATCTAAATCTGTGGTAGAACTGAAGTGGTTTAAATCAATGGGATGAATAATTATCTTTATGTAGGAAAGAGTGGGGAAGGTGGTTAACTTTTCCCCCTTCTACATATTCCAAATAGAGGAGATTCTTCGTTTCATAAGACTTGCAGGAAAATGAAACAGGGTCACACAGAAAAGTAGGAACAGAGCATGTCAAACCAGACTTAAGTTGGATGAACAGTAGTCTAATTTTTTTTTCACTCTAATTTTATACTCCCAGACCTCATGTTTGTGAGTTAGATCATTAAATGGATTACAAAGCAGACCTACAATCCTAAATACTGGTGCTGATGACTACAGCATATCATATTTTATTAAGATGGCATATCCATATTGTTGTATTCTGCCATCCAAAGTGTTCATTTGCTGATGCATCACTTTTTAGGAGTGTGACATTAGTTTGCTGTGTAATAATTAAAGCATCAGGCATTTCCTATACCTTTTAGTGTTTGCTGTTCAACCCACAGTCCATGAAAACATCAGCAGATAAGCAGCAAAGATAAAATAAAAAGTTAATTAAAGTGTCAGGGTGTAAGGGTGTACCTACTCACTAATCAAGTGAATTGCACTTATCAATTTTGTGTTGTTCCTTCATTGTACCACTGAGATTCCCAAACCACTTAAGTCTGCATAGTATGATTTGTGTCAGGTTAGTTATGTTGGATTAGCAGGGCGAAAGTGTTTTCAAATAAAAGTATGAGGATGAGTAACACCTGAAGACATGTCTGTTGCTGATGAGACAAATCATGTTACTATTTTTTAATGTTCAGATTTCAAGATGCTTGGATTTAGGCAACTGCGGCCCTTAATAGCATTACATTAATTTGAGGCATCATATGATGGGGAGCAGCTCAAAGCAATCTTTCATTCATGCTGAGAGAGGCTGTGTGTGTGGAAAGCTACAGAATGACAGATTTGCTCCCATAAGCAGTGGCTTTTTGAGCGCATTCACATTAAGTAGGTCTCAAAGTCATTACTCTTGGGTATAGTGGTTAAGCACTTGGGAGAAAAAAAGCTGCTTTTATGATTTTCTTAGCTGTTAAGCCAAATGAAAGTACTCATGTGATTTTTGTTGTTTTCTTCTTGTTTAAACTGAAAAGAATGAAAGACATAATTTGTTTCTAAACTTACAGAGTTGCTACTTTGTTATAATACTGTTTTTTCCACAGGGATCAATTGTACATTGTGCATTCAAATCTCTTTTTACTGGATTCCTTCCCTACTTTCTAGTCTTTGTTTTTCAACGTACAGTCCATGAAAAAAATCAGCAAATAAACAGGAAAAAGTTTTTTTAAGGTTAATTATGCAGAAAATTTGTTTTTTATAACCTAAGGTGGAATAAAGGTTATTTATTGGAAATCCCTTTGTTACTCAATTATAGAATCTGTTTTACTGGGGAGAAAATGATGTATGTTGAATAGTGTATTTCAGTACTGATGCTACAAAAAACAATCTGAACAGGGCAAAGATTGTCAGCATACTGATGAGAGATTCTGAATCAAACGGTTGATTCATCCAGTGAATCAGGTGAGGGCTAGGTTAGCCACTTCCACATCACTCAGAAAGAAAATAAAGAATGACCTAATATTTATAGTATTGATCAGTATAGATATGACTTTAAAAATTAGTATAATTATTATGTTTGCAGTACATTTATATCCCACCTTTCTTTCCTCTTCTGAGGAACTTAATGTGGCTTATGAAGCTTCATTTTATTCTCAAAACCACCCTATGTTGTAGGTTAGAATGACGGAATCATTGGCCCATATCCCAAAGTCACCGAGTGAGCTTTGTGGCCAGATGGAGACTAGAACCTGGTTCCCCTGTGTCTCTGATCCAGCGCTCTGACACCACACCATCCTGGCTCTGTGATTTAAACAGAAAGGCCCTACTTCTGTCAATATCTGGAAAGGTAGTGATGAGCTGAATTGTGTGCCTGTTCATTTTGCCATCTGGATCTGTTGATCGTCAACTGCAAGGTGCCACCCCACCCACTTTTAAAATTTGGATTGGATGTTCATTCAAAGAGAGGATGGGTGTCCTAGTGGATGAGGTTGTGCATTTTGTGGGAGTGAGAGGGGTTGTGCCTTAAAGGAGGCAAATCCTGAGGCCAGTCCCACCTTACTCCTCTTCACAGTTTAAAGGAGCCTGGGCCAGAAGTGGGGGATCCTGAACAGAGAATGTATGCTACCATTATTGGATCCTACTCGTCCTTCCTTCTGCTCCTCTAGGCCTCCAACTGGAACTTGCCTGGGTTTGTGCATTGGAGGTACTCTGAAGTTTCTCTAGCAGCATGAGGACTGATGAGGCGGATTGTTTTATCACTTCATTACTATTTTTGTCAAGGAGAGAGGTTTCTGGCTTTATGGTACACATTCTACATTCTACTGTTCTGCCTTTTACCCAAAGTCTTTGAAGCCATCTGTATCAGCATAATTACTCCACTCAAATGATTTGAGGAAAGGAACCTGAGATACTCCCACATGATTCCCCAGAGGTGGTGCGAGTCATCTGACACTCATCCTCTGATCCATTTTACCAGACCTGAGGAAGCCTACTGTAAAAGAGTAGCTCCCATTTCAGGCAGGATGTGAGTCCTGAGGTAATCAACAGATTGACTTCTATTGTTGATCCCCTAGTTGTAGACTCACTAGAGCCTCATGAGGCAACTTGGGCTATATACAGTGGTACCTTGGCTCACAAACTTAATCTGTTCCAGGACTCTAGTCGTGACCCAAATTGGTTGTGAGCCAAGTTAAATTTCCCCATAAGGTTCAGTGTAAATACGGTTAATTCGTTCTGTAACTATTTTTTTTAATCAGAAAAATGTGAAGCAAAGTGACAAAGAACAACAAAGATTGTGGCCATCTCCTCCCCGCACAAGCATGAGCATGGCCATCTCCCCCTCCCCAGCTTGACCACGATTGCGCCCATCATCCCTGCACACTCCCATCATCCCAGCACGCTGGGGGGAGGGGGGAAGATGGGCAAGATCGCAGGCCCGCTTGCGGGGGGGGGGGAGATGGGTGTGATTGTGGGTGTGCTGGTGGGGAGATGGGCATGATTGTGCAGGGGAAGTGACATGGCTGAGATTGAGGTTGCGCTTGTGCAGGAAAGACGGGTGCAATCTTGGCCATGTCCCCACTTGGGGGGAGGGGGGAGATGGCCACGATCACGGTTGCCACCCAATGCGGAGTTCACGACCTGAGTCAATTTTTTAATGAAATTTTTGTTCACGACCCAATTTGGTCATGAACTGAGGCGTTTGTGAGCCGAGGTACCACTGTATTGCAATTTTATTTGCAGCAGGTATGCATGTCCCCATATGAGTGAGGACAGTAACAGGTTTGCTGTGGCTTGTTGGTAACGTGCTTTCTTTTCATTTGCCCATTGGACCAAATAAGCTCAAAAAATCGTACTTTTCGCACAACATACACAAACGGCCCAGAATGTTTTTCCTAAAACACACCCTATTCTCCAACATGTTGCCCTGTGTGCTTGGCAAATAGTTATTTAAAGTATTTTAGGATGCCAGACTTTCTTCCTGCTTGCTTACAATCTAAAGAAAAAAAAGATGACACTCAGGAGAATGGTCGAGGGGGAAAATGATCTTTCGGTGGGCTTGGTGGAATGACCCTGCTTCCTCAGGATGGTCCACTGAAGTGGTTGGGGTGACCGAAGAGGAGCCTTCTTGAGCGAAGTCCTCCTTCCTCTTTCACGGTCCTCTCCGCAGCCTGCTTGCTGGTTGCCCAGCTGTGTGTCTTCTGCTGCTTACATGGGGCACCTTCACTGAGCACAACAACCACCCATTGTGGTAAATTACTGCAGATCAGCTGATTCCCTTCACTCCTGCCTGAAAGGAAGCCTCTCAGGTGCAGGGAGGACAGCTGGACTGCACACTCTTGGTCAGACGCAGTGCTGCTCAGGGGATTCCCCTGTGCCTATCTGGGGGACTTTCTCTTGAGTAGGAGAAGGAAGCAAGAACCTGGCCGAGGTGACGATACTCCCGTCATGGGCGTTCCCACCTACCTTCCCTGTTGCTGCTGGAGCGGGAGCTGCTCAACCCGCAGGAGGGAAGGGGGAGCCTGAAACAACCTTGCCTAGCCCCGGTTCGCCTTTCCCCACTCTTTCTTCAGTGGCTTTCCCTCCAGCAGGAACACAGTAGAGGGCAAACCCTCCCACGCCCGCCACTCCTTGGGGGAGAGGTGCCCTGGTGTGCAGGGGGCTGGGGAGGCGGGTGTGTGCTAAAGCATCTTTCTCCCAAGTCGAAGTGGGTGGTGAGGCAGTGCTTGACCCCTTCCTTCCAAGACAAAGCCTTTTGCCTGGCTGCCCTGGTTCCTGCCCCAAAGAAGATCCCTCAGGAAAGGGAAGCCAGGATGTGCCACACTGGGGCAGTTGTCAGCTGCACTCTCTGGCTAACCCCTTGACACGAACGGCACTGCTGCTCCTGCTAGGCAGTTCTCATTCGAGGTTTCTACCAGCATGGGCTGTGTCATCTTGGGTTGGAATGACCCAACAAGCTATTGTGATGTGGAGAAACCCCACAGCAGAACTTTATGTAGCGTAAATCACAATGGTCAATCACCATGACTGGGTTTGCAAGACACAACTAATAGTCACAAGGGCTTTTTTTTAAAAAAAATATTGTTGGATGCTTGTACTGTTTGAACTCCGTGGTAGTCACATCCTTGTCAGGTACCTTGAATGAAATTCTCTGCATAATTTACAGTCATTGGATTTTTAACAAGAACAATGAGATAGGAACAATTAACAGGGATGCATTTTCATTCAAGTTTGTCTTTTGATCTTTTTAAAATACCACTTTTTCTAAAGCTATGTCATCTGGGAGATATGGACTGTTAATGGAGCAGGTCTTGTTTATCAAGTTTTATGATTGGCATTCCTTCTTTGTATTAAAACCTCTGAAACCCTGCAAACAATGGAGGATTTAAAAGAAACTGCTTACAGTAAAGGATGTTCTTTTTGAAAAGACATGATGCTTTTTTATTTTTTGTTAATGAATTGACACTTCTTGTAAAGGAGCACACATTTTGTCCTTCACATTTGATGACTAATTTATAACAAAATGGCTTTAGAACAGAATGTTAATGGTGTTGCGTCTGGCTCGCATGGTCTGCTTAATCAAGTGCTCTGGTCTCTCTCTCTCGCCCACCCGCCCATACATGGAAAAAGTGTCATTTCCATTTGTAGCAATTATGTTCTTCACAGTGAGTATTGTGTTTTTATGGAAATTTTAAGATTATTACATATAAATGTGCTTTTTGTGGGTTTTTGATGTCTGCAGTGGCAGACTCTTACATTCACACTAAATGTTTAGCTATAAATTGGCATCTTTAACCTTTCCTTGTTTGATGAGGCTGCTCTAGTCAAGACCTTACATGGACCATGCTTAACTCTTGGTAATTCAATCATCCATCCTCTTCTGGTGGGTACAAGTGATTCCCCTCACCTAATTGTTTATTGTATATACAATCATACTTTTAACTTGTAAATAGGTTTTGTAGGTGTTTGTAATGTTCAACCCACTCAGTGGTCTCTTTCCAGCCTTGTAAAGATCTAGTAATGTTACCTGATAATTCGAGTTAATATTTAGCTGCTGACTTAGGGCTGTTGTCTCCCTATCAGTCTTTTCATAATGATGAAGCCCAGTACCCTTAGGCAGCTTCTGCGCCCCAGTGTCCTGGCAGAGCCTACAACCATGGATACTTGGGTGGGCTCATATGACACATGAAGTCATGGTGAACTATAATTGTTATGGATTTGTTGTGTTGTCTGGACCCAGTCCCAAAGTTCTGACACGGTAGGATTAGTATTCTGAAAGCACAGTGAGAATCAAAGGTCTGTTTTAAGGTTTCCATTCTTTGCTGTAGCATCTCTAGTCATCCAGCCCCAGGATTGCCACAATTGTTATGGAAACACAATGGAGTGCCCTGGCTAAAGCTGCTTCTAGCCTTTGATCTCTACTGCCCTCAGTTCTCTAGTAACAAATGAGTCTCTGGTCACTTTGTTCCCATTGGCCAAGTGATGTGTCCATCTCTGTTTACTTTTGGAAATGGAGACAACACTAAAATACACAGCAGGAGAAGGAGGGAATTGTAGCAACAGTATTTATTTTGGAATAACCATTTTTGGAATAACTTCCCTGCTGCAGTCTGCCTGGAACCAGCTTGCCATCTTTTCAGCACCAGGTTAAGACAGCCTCTTTGCAGAAGCTTTAAAGACTTCCCTGGAACAATTATGCAGGTGCCTTTCTCTTACTCTTGACTGGGTCTTTTTATTGTCTTTAATGTTTTTATGTTATTTTAAATAAATTTTTAAGTCTTGCTAATGTTTTTATC